AAGACAACATGAAGATATACATTGTATTTTCTACTTTGACAAACCGTCCAAAAATACATGCAGAAGGACCTGACAAATCTGCCTTTAATTTGCCATGGGAGAAAACAAGAATTCTTTACACCTGTGAAAAGAATGAGGGATCACATCCATAAATAACATTTACTTGTTTTCTCATTACATGCACATGGGGATAGATTCCTTTTTTCAGAAGAAATGTATATGTCATCAAGCTTAGAGAGCACTGAACTAAATATGACATATTTTGGAGTAAGGTTTTTTATTCTATTGATTTGGTTTTTAAAACCAATAAATGGTATTGTAGAAAAGAAGAGAAAGGAGAGACTTTATTAATTTAGAGTCTTTTTAAGCAATATCTCTAACATCAAAAAGAAGCTTTCTTCATTTAAATATATAAGCTAGTTTTTTACTGCCTTGTGTAGATCTCAGTGAATAGCCTAAAAAATAGTAGTATATTTTCCCCAGTACCTGTAAAGCCTAGTTGTAGAGCATTCGCTTCTTGATCGGGAGTCCCAGCAGGGTTGGATTCTCTTTTGCTAAGACGCGTCAAGCCTAAGACGTAAATGTTGGCATTAGAAGTGAAAGTTACGGATCTTTTGGATATGACATTAAAAACGTAGGTCCCGTGTCGCGATAGGCGTTGGCACGATAAAGAACCCTCACTGCTCAATAGCCCCGAGTGCCGAGTGAAGGTCTAAATTTGAAACCCTTTACCGGCATACGGTGACTTCTCAATATAAGTTAAAAATCCCAAGTGGGACGTTAAACAACATACAATCAATCAATACGTAGTACATGTACCTGACACATTGCAGTGTTTGTGAAGAATACTAAATCATACGAGAGATTTTCAATAAATAATTCCCTCGATGCTCGGAAATAAAGAAATTAGTTTTTTAGATTTTATTATTTCACTAAAATGTTCCCTTTCAATTACAAAACATGTCCAAAAACAATTTTATTCAAATTCGGATTCTTTTAGAATACGTTTCATTTAAGCATTGTCCTTCGTATGTTGGAATAAGGAAGTTCCTATGAAACAACTGTATCATAAACAAATAAAATAACCTTTCACGGAAATTATTGAGTTTTATATTATTTGAAAGATCAGAATTATATACACATATTTTGATGTCACTTTATATTTTGTATGAGGTCATAACTCCAAAAAAAGACGTCGGAATATGGAAAGTTTAGCATACTAAAAAGTTGCTTTTTTATCCACGTTAGACGATTTTAAAAATGCTGTCAAAGGTATATTTGAAGAAAAAAATATTACAAAGGAAATGTAAATTTCCAAAGAGGTAGATAAGAACTTTGGTACTATTTATCAGTAATTCCATATTTCATTTTATGGTTTGTTTACTTAGTCTAGTAAGGTTTATGCTATCATCGACATTAATTTTAGATTTTATTTACATAGTCCAGTTGGTCATTAGCATAGCTCTCCATTGTATGAAATAAAACAATGTTCTGTATAAAACTGAAGTATATAGATGCAATTTTCAACAAATATCTTTTAAGTAAAAGAACTCTCACCCTTTGTTAACAAAATGTACAAAAGTTTTCCACCTGACTTGTTTCTGTACGCGTATTTTTCATATCAATTCAACTTCGGTACCCCCAAAATCACTACTATTATTGTCTTTTGACTCCAAAAAGGATTATAAGTCACATAGACATGTGGAATTTTATTCATTTTCCATGCATTCAAGTTTGAGAATATGTGGAGGTACGGTGGGGTTACAACTGTACCGGCGCCATTTTGGATTTTACAAGACAATATGGGGCACACTAAACTGAACTTCTCTTGAGCCTTCATCGATCCCACAAATCTGGTTAAAACACCTGAAGAATTTATGCCATGAAATTTTAGAACGCGATTGCTTTTTTTTCTTTGATTGTCAACTTTGTCTTTTTTTCACAGTTTGGTCTGTTTTCCGCAATATGTTGAGCAGATTTAATTAAAACATGTTATGTTTGACATTCGCTAAAACCATTTCAGAACAAGAAGATCTCCGAAATAAAACACCATATGATGGATTGTAGAAGATAAAAACAATCCACCAATTGACATTTTCGTTCGTTAGCTTGCGTCCGAGTAGTGAGCAAATTGATCTTAAAGTTGTCAAAGAAATTTCGATTTGTTCTGTGTTACGTCATTGTTATGGCCAGTATTCTAAATATGCGTAAATCTGCCGTCATTTTTGTGGTAATTAAGTAATAAATATATTAAAGTGACGTCACAATATGTGTAAATATTTTCAATTTTTCAAGTCGTTTCAATCTCAATAATATCTGTGAAACTGTTAAATTTTTTAATAAAACAGTTGTCAGAACTTTTTAAATGCCAATCGTAATAATTTGTTTTGACGCTTTAAAGGTATTGATTCAAGTTTTATTTTCTGTTTAAATTTCAGACAATGGTGGATTACCTCAGTTTTTTTTTTTTTAATAATTGTTTAGATGCTCTTATACACTGTCAATTTCACACATTTTTCAAAACATAGGGTGACAATTGAGTATTAAGCTTTATTTACTGTAATTTTTTGTTTCTTTAAAACATAGTAAACTTACTCCAAAATGAAGCCTATCAGTTTTGGTATGTGTCTTGAAGTCAAACAAACATAATTAGTAATAATGTATTTAATTTTGGCAACAGTACATTGGTTGTTGAAAGTCTTTGTCGCCAAGGACAATAACCATTATATAGTTTTTGTTCATTAAAATCCACCTCCTCATGTGTAATAAACAGACATTCGTTGCTGTAAAATTAACAAATTTTAGTGAATATTTTTCTTAAGGTGTTTCACAGCAACCTTCATGATTCGTTTAATTTCATTCTTGGTTGATGATTCTGTATCATTCATTTTGAATGTAGTGTCTCGAATAGCCCTTGTTTTCCAGCTTCTCAAAATGAATTTATATGATAAAAAGTGGTCACATAAACTGTAATCAATTCAATATAGATTCACTCCTGAGTAAAAAATCAAACTCTTTGTCATATGCTTTCTATGTTGTATGTCATACAGCTTATGTCATTTTATATTGAGCAATCCTTGTGTTCATGGAATTGTATAAGGAAGGCAATGGAGTTGTCGTTCTTTTTGTTTTTTTTAATTCTAAAACAAGATGGTATAGCACCTGCTCTTAACAAATGTAGAGGTATTCAGTGAATATCAAGACTGATTGACTAATAGAAAATCAATTAAAATGATATACCAAAAGGTCCCAAATTTATAAAGAATTATTTTCTTAATGACCATCAATTGTTTACACTTATGAAACCCTAACTACTTCCTATCAAGCCACACACTTAATGAGATTTTGATCTTCAAATGGATTCACATGGGAGAAACCTTTTATTTGTTGTCAAGGCATGGTTTGAAATTTTATAAAATATAATAGCTAAAATATATAAGAAGTGGATTTCGCGATAAATTACTAAAATAATGCAAGCAGTTTAAAATAGGATACAAAGTGTTTAAAAAAATATTGTCAGGACATCAAGAGATGACTTAATTATCTACTCAGCTGTGTAAAGAGCTGATATGCAAAATGTAACCTTAGTACCGTTTTAATAAGTATTGCTTCTTTAAATCAATGTGACAAAGCAACAAAATATCTGTTTAGATTGTAATATAGGTATCCATTATGGATAGGGCTAGGCCGTACAAAGTACAGTGAAATCGCATGTATCAGCTGTTTGTCATTTGTTTAAAAAATAGAATTGTTTAGTTAAATGTACAATGTAGGGAAATGAGGATAATGCAAGGGCTTACGCTTGGTTTTTTTTTAAGAAAAACATTTATTTAATTCACATTCAAAGGTGAATATTTCTTCTACCCAAAAAGTGCTTGGAGCTAGTCTGTGCTGTTTGAAAAGTACTGAAAATTTTGCGGACAATACGTTTAATACTTAATAATTTAAAGTTTGTTAAAGGACAGACAGAATAATGTATATTTTTTTCCAAGATTTTGTCATTGAAGAATTACTACTTTAACATATTTATTGACAAAAAATTGAGGTAAAATACCGGGCATTAGTGCGAGATACCAAAGGATGGCATTTCTTATATAACCCTTTATGAAAAAAAAAGAATAATTTGCCAAAATCACATTCTTTTTTGTTTCAAATTTGTAAAAAAAAAATTAGAAACCCGTGTAGAAAACAGAAAGTAATTAAAATGTATATATATATATTTCATACATTATGGAGATATATGAAATAGTTTTTTGTGGAATATCTCGTCTGACCTTAAATTCTGTTATAAATGAAATCAGTTCCCAGCACTTTTAAAAATATACACTATATAAGCAATAGATATTTCATATTTTAGCTTAATAAAAATAGTATATGTCCTTGCATTTTTTATGTTTATCACAAATACGATTATCGTTCTAGCGATTATTTTCTACATTCCTTGTCCCTCTGTAGCTCAAATGTTACTAGATGAATTCATATTCCATACAAATTGTATTTAATGATTTTTTTTCTTTTACTTTTTCGTGATTATGTTCAAAGGTTAGCGATGATATATTTATTTAGGCAGTGTAGTTGTTGACGTCATATTTTTCGAGAGACTTTCTTCTATTACTCAAATGTATTGCTATCAAGTATTGTTATTCTGACGCTGTATCTTTGTAAATGAGATAGGTTACTTCACAGGGTAATTTAAGCATTTGATTTAAAACCTTAAACTACTCGTGTCTTGAAAGAAAGTACTTAATTACATTCAATTAGTAAATATTGTTTATACGATGAAACACAAAGCGATTCTTAACATATTTTGCTTTTTACACCATTGCAGTCAAGTTCTCTTCGTGGCAGAAAATCGAGAAGGAAATTAAGGATTGTTACAGTGTAATGTGAGGAACTTCAAGAATTAATGGCAATAGAAATATTTAATTTATCCGTGAGAACAATCAGAGGGGTCTTCCGATGTAAATTGAATAACTATGAAAAATAATTGACAAACGCCATTTGCACAAATTTGAGTTAAATTTTATTTGTAATATTCAAATTATTCAAAATAGTAAGAGAAAATAGAAAGAAAATGTTAACTGTTTGTTAATAAGTATAATGTGCTATTCCTCTTCTTTACTTTATTTTAATCCACGAATGTTAAGACAATTTATTAAAAAGAAATTCAGATTTTTTCAACACCCATCTCTATAGGAAATCTTCGCATCATGTTTGATTCACTTTTTATGACTACCAATTGAGCCAAGGATGGAATCACATTGTCGAGTTTCTTCTGGATGTTTTCCAGTAGCGCTTTTAGCAGCTCCAGAACCTTCAACCTTCCCACCATCCTCTTTTGCACCCCTTTTCTCCTTGGAGTCGCCTGAACTCTTGCCACTGTGTTTATCCATTTCCTTTCTTTTCTTCCTTGTAACTGCAACATGTAATTGACATAAGGTATTAATTTGCAAATATTGACCACATTCCTAAAAATAAAACGTTGTTGACTTTTCGATATGTCCGTTGAATTTATCATAAGAAACCAATCCTCAAGTATATGTTTCCGAAGCAATGGGTGCGGCGATCAATACTATATTCTGGTAGGAGAGTAAAGCAGACAAATGCTTGAACAATTTAAAACAAGTAACAATAGGATGTAATTAAAAATGTCTTACATAAAGAGAACTTCGCAACAAAGGCTAAAAAAATTAATACAATAAATTTTGAACCTACAAATAATTCCATCCAAAGAGTAGTACACATCAGGAAAATTACATAAAACTTCAAGATATTAAAAGGCTAAATTGAAAAAAAAAAACGGATCAGATTGTATGAAATCAGAATTCCAAATTGACGAACAAAGGAAACAAGCGATTATACAAATTCGAAGCCTATCCCTAAGAAGAATGTTATTGCACATTAAAATATTACATAAATTATGAACAAACTGAAAAAAAAAGAATAAAGAAAAATGTCTTAAAAATTGAAGCAACAAAAAATGATAGAGATGAAGAAATCAAATATTCAAATAATATAACTAATTTTGTTTATACTAATAATGTGAAATGAAATGGAAATATGAACGTGTACAGTACCTGTCTTTCAGTTGCTAACGAAGACAACCAATCAAAAACTCTTCCAATATAAAGATGCACAAAGCTCTATGAAACAGACTGAACTGTTCAGGGTTGCTATCTTCAAACATTTATATACTACAGGCACAATGACCCTCCAATTTCTTTTCTTTGGGAAAAGACATAAATAGAATTACTAGAAATAGATAAATATTATATAATGTTGTTTTCCTGGAAAAGAAGCGATACATTTGAATGAAAAGAAATTGCAAAGTCAGACAAATTCAACCATTGTGTGAGAGTTAAATCAGCTTTTACATATTTTTTTCCTGTAAATAAATGTGCCTGTGTGCTATTCTATTACAAAATAAGCTATGAAATGTACATTGAAGATATAATATTTTCTTGATCTTTCGGGTATTTTAAAGCATCCCTAAAATACCATAAGAAGTCAAAAGATAATTGTACGAGAGATTTTTCCTATGACAAATACGTATAAAAGTATACTTTTATGTTGAAACCTAGTTTGCACCAAAATCATTTTAATTACAACATAAAATGTTTAAATTTACTAAAATATCACAATTAATATCATTTATCTCACAAGATTACTCACCTTACAAATTAGCAAATGGCACAATGTTGAAGTCGTTCGAAATTACTAGCGATTGTTAAAAGAAATTCTTCTGTGAATATTTCTTCTTTCCTTTTAAATGTTATTATTCGCACTTTCTAATTTAAAAGAAGTTCATATATACTTACACTGGTCCATCCGTTCGTAAAACTTCTTTCCTCATATCTCATATATCTTAAAAATGAGACCTGATCTTAACAGTGATGTTAAAAAGGTATTAGTATGCTCTGTTCCAAAACTTATATTATTCAATGGACGTTTGAGCTTGAATGCTTTCGGTATCTTTATATATTTCATTAGAACCAGTAAGCGATTGATCTTTTTGGATAGTTGGGATTGTTTGCTGCAGGTGTTCAAATCAGTCTTATTATGTCGCCCCGAACGAAGTCGGGCGACATATTGCGATTGTACGCATGTTTTTGTTATACGGGCTGTTTCTCGGAGACAATCCTCTTCAAACTTTCCTCAAAGGAGGATCGCTGGTTGTAGTTGTGTTGTGTGGTCACTCAGTTTCAAAATGGCTACCGTTGCCATGGAAACCTGCAAAAAGCGACTAATTTTGTCCAAGAGTGTTCTCTCTAGTCCCTTGGACATTCGTCATGAAAATTTACTGATTAAATGATTAGTATCTGTAATTGTGCCTGTTGCATTTAAAATTTGGAAATTGCCAATAGTTTCCATGGAAACAGGAGAAAAATGAAAATTCTTTTACTTTGATTTTTAAATCAAAGTACTGAATGTAGTGTAAGGACTGATACGATTTGATGGTATTCAAAGCTTAGCTTATAGGTATTGTTTTAGTGATGAAAAAGATGAAAGTCTTGTCCACTTCGGGGCGATATAAGCTATTGCTTGCAATAGAAGACTTTCTAGTTTTTTTTATTATTTTATTTATTTAATTTTTTTGGTTTACGTTATGATTGTCAAAAAATAGCATTTTTTTTATAAAACATGCTTTGGTAGATCTTCTCATACAATTTGTGAAATAACCTTATCATCTTTAAGAAGATAAATTGTGTTTTGCAGATGCCTAATAAGGTTTTAAGATTTTTATTTGCATAATTCTGCCATGCTTACGATTGACTGGTCGATAAAACAACTGAATTGATCAACCCAGTCGAAGATAGCAGATGGAGGCCGATAAGCAGAACAAAAGAAAATTGATTTAGACACATATACATTAAGCTCTCAACATAGCTGCTTTACCTAATCTATCCTTTCTTTAAAAACAAACCATATCAATCTATACTTAATTCATTATCAACTGTATTTTCATTAGAAAAAATTCGCAAACCCAAAACACGTCCAAAGTTTGTTCACTATTTAAAAGTAAGTGGATTTAATTAAATTTCGGCAAAATGTGACAAACATTCAAATTCCAAAATTTTAGCCCCTTTTATACACTACTGGACGAAAAAAAGTGATGAGAATCCCAAATTTTACTGATAATGTTTGATAATTACTGATACTGTGCTGTTCTTGCTGATAATTACTGATAATTACTGTTATTATTACTGTTGTTGCTGATAATTTTAGTCGTTGCTGATAAATACTGATAATTACTGTCGTCATTACTGTTGAGTCTGATAAATACTGATAAATACTGTTGATGTGCTGTCGTTGCTGAGATTTACTTATAATTACTGTGACCACTTTTTAAAAGCTAAAATAGAATTAAGGGCTAAAAAACCCTTCAATTATTAATTTCTTTTATTTAAATAATCAAGACATTTCCCTGTTTCTTTTAAAATATTCTGCTAATGACAAAAATTAAACACGGATTTCAATTCATTACTATGATACTGTTGTGAAAATGCTGAAATAATTAAATGAATTATTAGGCAAATGTTTTCTACAAATCTATGAGAAAATAATATGATTTATCGTAAGCTAGATGAATGGAATAATTATTGTAAATTTTTACTAAAGATATAATTTATAAAATTTTTTGTAAATAAAAAGAATATAAGACTATCTTTAGAAAAGTTAACTTCATCACCGCCCTCTTCCGACTCCAAGAAAGGGTAGGGAGGTCAGTGATGTTTATTTTTCAATAATAAGAAATTATAGTTCGCAGTGGGTGGGAAAAAATTCAGGATAAAATATGCTTCTTAAAGGCTAGAAAAGTTTGATTCGCACCGTTTTCACTCGGTCAACTGGTCAAGAGAGATAAGCATTCGCTATTTAAAGATCGCCTTTCATAGAGCTTTTATTTGTTTTTTTCCTCAAAGAATTTTTCTTTCATATTTAACGTGTTTAGTTTTCTGGTTTCTTATTGTCAATTTTTTTAAAAATAATTTTCTCGAAAATAAGAAAGTTTATACTTTAAAAAAAAAAATAAGTTAGAGATAAAAACAAGCTGAGAGGCGAATAATTATGTTCAATATGAAGACACAGCTTTCTCTTCATTTATTTTGATTTTATTTATTTATTTATTTTCTATTTATTTATTTTTGAACGTATTGTACGTGTTTGTAGACTGTCGCAGAATATAACTCTTCTGCATGCACATGTACAAGCTTAAGGTACACACACCACAGGTGCAACCGGCAGATGGGGGCTGATTAAAATTTAGTTGTCCGAATCCCTAGTGCCGGTATAAATGCAAAGGTACACAAGTGTTTAAATATAAAACTGATTTTGATGTCGATGACTTATTAAATTTCATGACACAGAAAATTTTCATTCATTATGTTTTAAAATCTCATTATTTTTTTAAATTTAATTTTATGAAAAGAGAATTAAATAAGATATGAGACCTAGTGTAATCCATTATGTAAGTTAATAAAGTTAATCTTTATCAAATTGATCGAGTTCAATCTTGGATGATCAAATTGATCAGTTTTCATTGATCAGAAATCGATGATCAACCTGTGATTTGGCTGTGCTGTGTACATGTCTTCGGCCCCGGCGTAGAACAGTGTACAACTTGTATATTCCATGCAAATTGTAGTGGTCAGCGTAACAATGGGCACTAATCACCTATTGTTCTTCGTCTGCGGCTACCGGTGTACACAATAAACAAACTACCTACACTGTACCTGCTACTTTGAGCAGAAACAATCTTTACCAGTTTATGAAAAAGAAAAATTTCCCTGTAATTTTAATTTTGACGAATAAAATTGATATGAAAAAAATAGCAAAATAGGACAGTGCAGTATTAAAAGAAAAAAAAAAAGAAATGAAGTTTCAATTCATGAACATTGCACAGATTTAATAATTATTTTAATCTGCATAATCTACCTATTTAAGTTCAGTAGTTTATTTCATTTTAAGAACATTTCTTGAGATAAATCTAAAAAGAATGCTCCGGGGAGGGGTGTTTTTTGTTAATGATGGTTTGGGGTCCGTGAAACGGACACGAGATATTGATATGGAACATTTGAATTCATCTTATAATTAAAAAATTCTGCAAAATGTAAATATAAATTTAAAAGAATTAGATGGTATAGTGAAAGCAACATTTGTTATAATATTAGAGTTACCTGAACATAATTCAGAAACAAGGAAACTCGACATCACTGAATCCGAAACAAAAATCTTTTATGAATTTTGAATGTTGGTAACATGACGTTGTTTATCGCACTCTTGAATAAAATTCATGTTCTGAATTTTGTATCGTTCATTGATTCTCTAAATTAATTTGATGTACATTTATATAAAATATGAAATAAGCAATTATAACATGCATGATGTATAAAATATAAAATTAAAGAATCAGCCTTTCTTCGTTAACAGCATTTCACCCCCCCCCCCCTTTCTGTGCTACATGTACATTCAAGTAAAATCAAGTCAATAAGCGCCCAACCTGTATTGTTCGGTTATACAAAGGCCCCGGACAAGGAGAACATGGAATGAAAAACAAATTATAGTCTTTGTACAAAATTATTTTCTAATTTGTTGTACGGCGTAAAGAATGTACTAATAATTGACCCGATTCTCAAACCGAAAGTAGAACTCTTACACGTGGTTGACATGTGTATTCCAAAACAACAAGCAAGACGGCATTTATGGAAAAAGAAACTTCCAGTTTTATTTTATTTTTTTTTATACTGACTGGCCATGTATAGCATGTTTTAGCAGTTGTTTAAATTGATCTCGCTGCTACCGGCTGCGGACAAGCCATAGGCCCATTCTATGTGTACTACTATTAACAAAGAAGGACGCATATTTTATCAACTGAAAATCCCACTGCATAAGATTTATAGTGTATTAATGGCTTAGCAAATAATTTTTTTTTAAAAGAGAAAGAAAGTCTAAGAAAGTGTTGATACCACACAATGATACAGTCTATCTAAAATTCGCATGGAGGGCATAATCTGAGAGATCTAAAGCGCACTTAAGCTAAAAGTATATAAGATATTATAATTCATAAAATATTAGAAATAGATTTAATTAATTGTTTGAATTTGTCACATTCTTCAATAAAAGGGCATAATGTATGCTTCATGAATATATTATTTTGAGAAATATTTCATACTGTCTTGTTAAATTGAGAACTGTATAAAAA